GTTCGAACTGTACAGTCTGATCGTAACGATTTCTCGTAGTGTGTATGGCTACCATAATGGAACTACTCCGAAACGGCACGACCGATTTCTAGAAATTTTATATGCATATTCAGTAGGTCTGAGAATCGGACAAAATCTATTTTTCATCCCCCTAAATGTTAAGGGTGGTCCACTCCTAAATTTTTTTTGGTCAATTTGTTTTGTTTTTGTTTTTTTATGATACATCCGTGGATACATCATACAAAAATACATACCCCCCCCCCCCTATTTTTTATGGGGGTACGAAGTTTACTGGGACAGCTAGTTTTTATATAATATAGATTTGTTTAACATTTACTACAAACTTGTAACATAATAACGTAGATATTATATTTTCCTACTAGATAGGTAGGTATTTGCGGAAATGTAATGATATCATTGAAACTGTTCATATAAAGTATGATATAGGGTAGCAGTTGTTTCTTCTGGAATAACAGTCATATTGTTAGAAAAATGTAGAAGATAGATAAATTAATGTGTTTCAGGAAAGCAATGGTTATACTGCCTAACTAGAGATTTCCGCGGCAGTTATTTTTGACTACTGTCAATGAAATAAAGACTTGCCTTGGGCTTGCCTCTATTAATTGAATTTGAAACGCCATGTAGGTAATAAATTTTCAACTGGCAATAAATATGAGAGTTACAGTTCTGAACGATCAATCTACAGAAGAATTCTCCATACAATTGTTAACTATATTTTAAAATGAACTTGTTGAACTTTAAATAATATTAAATTAGAAGGAAAATAAAACCACCATAATCTAGATTTGACACAAGACTGTCTTTTTCATTATATTTTTAAATAGGAATAATAACGTCAATTTATAAAGGAGTTTCAATTCGTAACATATATTAAAAGCTGTGTTCTTGTTCCTTTCGAAAGAATAGCTTTTATTTTATCCAAATTATTGTAAATGGTACGTTCGGCGGGTCAGCTAGTAGGTAATATCACTTGGTAAATGTGCCATTGTTTAGGTATAGCTTTTAGGGAGATGAAATTCTTTTAATTTTGGGATACAATGCGAGAGAACCTGGCATCTGACATATGTTAATTATATTTAGGTGGGTATTTATTGATATTCTGTCAATTGCATAAACGAAAAATATATTACTGTCAATCGGAACACCAAAGATTGTGGTCAAAAATTATTACAAGACTTTTTAACAGCCGCCTGTGAAAACGGTAAAAGGTCGAACGTATCAAAACTTACAAAACAGTAACAGCACAGCCCTTTCGAATTTCACTTCTCCGAATTGAAAACAATCGCAGCGTTTGAAAAAAAAGTAATTAAATCGTAATTAAAGTCAGCATTAAGAGGGTCGGTATGCGCGAGTGAATTGCGCCACTCATATTTTGATGACTAGTGACGGGAATGCAGTTATCGACAGCCATAAATCGATACAGTGTCCGCATATCAGCAATTAAAGTGAATAATAAATATTTTCTCTTGGAGATTTTGTGTCTACAGACGTGTATTGATTTAGATTTCTTATATTCCTATTGTCGATTAATGTATGGCATGAGATTACTGCGTTTTTATTTTTACCTTTTAAATTATCATGCGGTTGGAATAACATTGTTCAGCCTTAACTTTTTTAATCATTTATTATAATGATTTAAAGAAATTAAGTAGGCACAATGAACAAACACACTGATATCATAGATATTACAAGGCCAAAACAATCATTAATTTTACAAGGTTTTATAGTCTAACCCAGAGTACCATGAAATGTAACCTAAGTATTGGGTATAATTTTATGACCCTTAGGTAATTTTTCCGTTTTGATTACGATTTTTTAATAAGACCATTAACCACCGCATGTGGCAGAATGAAATGAGAACAATACAATTGAAACGACTGTTCAAAGAGGTTTAATTTGCCTCCTTGAAGGTAATTACAAAAAATACAACACACTGTGTTTATCGTAAAATCGTTATGATTTTACTTTAGGCGCGTAGAACAATAAGGGTGCATAAAACAAGCAAATCGTGCTTTAATTACCATACTGTTTCAGTAAAGCCACAATATTGGCACTAAAGTTGTGAGCTTAACAGAAAAAAAACACTACCTTAATCGGATTCATTTAAAAATCACGATGTAAAATTTGTATGGTCGATAAAACACGATACTCGAAGCGGCCTCCAATTTTGCATACATAAACATCGTAAATCTGATTCAGTGAAAATGAGTATCGGACTATCGATATGTCGATATCGAATTTTACGATCGATTCATCACCACACTGCAACGTTATTGTGGTACCTTACTGTGGTACACAATACTCAAGCCACGTTGGGACAATCACATCTTCATTAATTACGGAAGGAATTTTTCTTACGGTTGTCCTTTATGAAATGTGCTCCAAGTTTAAAACTATAGCGGAACACGAAGACTTTTTCACTATGTACGCTACTGCCAAAAAAGTTTTACTGAATCACAATTCATCGATAATACCTTGTGGGCTATTTAATAAATCGAAAGTTTAATTAATCGATTGCTCAAAATTTCGTAGATCGATTAACGCAGACACCATACATCTTTTACCGAACAATACTTTATACCGAAGGGTGCAAGTTATAAAAAAATCATTAAAACTAGATTTGAATTGTTTGAAAAAAAAATCAATTGACGTTAAGTAGTACCTACCAATCACATCGCATTAGGTGGTTTTCGTCTACATTATTCTGTATACGAGGAAGACTCTAGTCTCGATATTAAAGAAGCTAATATTGATCAACGCAGGCAAAACCACAGACAAATAAACGTGAACTAACGAAACCACAGACAAATAAACGTGAACTAACGAAACCACAGACAATTAAACAGTAGACATTTTTGCATGTAAAATTGCTAAAAGTCTGTGCGGAAAGAGAATGGGCGTGGCGAAAAACGGAACTAACATTAAGATTTTTATTTGGCAATCAAACCCAGCAATCCGTAAAACGTCAAAGTTTTGTATTGATATGGATTTGTTTGTTGTTGTGATTTCTTACGGTTTTTTGTATTTAGTCATGTCTAAAAGGGGTAAAACCTTACGAATACGGTAAAAAAGCACTACAGCGCCCTCCAAACTAAATCCCATTCTCTTTCCGCACAGACAGGTCTATAAATTGATAATGTAGTTAAGTTTAATTCCAAATGGAATTTATGGTGGGTGCTAACATCTATCAACTGTTGATTGTGTTTAAAAATGTCATCAATGTTTAATCCTCCTTTTGGATTAGAAAATTGGATGTCAGATCTTCTCAGTTTCCCAACAATATGTGGCTTTGCTTTATCTCTTGTATCCGCTTCCTCTGTATCTCATAATTGGTACCACACAACATTCTTCGTATGTGCTAATGGCGGCCCGATCTGTCCTCGCCACGGTTTGTCGTACGACTTTTTGTCGTACAACTTTTTATGGCAGTTCACCGCATGCCGGCGACTTGTGCTTCTTATGTAATTAAGACTGTTTTCCCAGGCGTATGAAATTTTCAAGATAATCGAGTAAGTAGACGTCATAACATAAGTGTACAGTTTGATTAATTTGTTTGGTTAAAATTTGGATCGTCATGCGGCCGATATTTTAAGAATTCTTGACGTAGATTTCACAGGTCTCTAATTTGTAGATTAGTTTAATTATTTTGTATCTATTTATTTATTTTGACGATCTTCTTGGGCGAGTAGTCTGTTCGCCGGGTTTCAAGGTGTAGTCTACTCGAGAGGTCCCGGTTTCGAGTCCCCGTGGGGGTAGATGTTAGTGTGATGAATACGAGCATTTGTACTCCAGTCATGGATGTTGAATATGTTTTCTATATATGTATCGGTGAGTAAGACTGATACGAACACGTATCTTTTTTGAGTTAACTACTCATAATGATGATTAATTCTATTTTAGTTTATTAACCTAATAACAACATCCGTATAGATAGTTCAAGAAAGAAAAAGAATATTTTAATGAAGTTATTAAAGTAAATGTACCTAATATAACTAAATTATTGCCATAAATCAACGCTAGTTAGGCTTGCCATTCTTGGAAGTTGTAAGCAATAAATTGGTTCTTATACACAAGAACAATCTAATTGGTCCGCCGAACAGCGTATTCTATCATCATAAAACTGTAATACCTCTTTATTGTTTTAATTAGCTTACAAAATGTTAATCTTATCTAGTATTTTAATTAGTTGACTGTCAATAAGTCTACAATAAAAATATTGTATGTTACTTCTTTGTAATTAAAAAAAAGAAATATATAAAAAGTATTAAAAGGAATTTGACCGTTGGGTTAGTAAGGAAACATCTGCTTACAATTAGAAATGTCGCTTTTATCGAACGGCGATTGGAATATTAAAGTTTAAATTATGAAAATTAAAGATGTTTTAGTTTGATCATTGGCCACCACTAAATAAATACTTAAAGTTACAATGTTGCTTGTCAGCAGTGATCTCATATATTTTGTTATCTCATTAACATACATTTACTCGTATTTAATTTAATTATATTTTTTTCCGTAACAAGGCGGATTTGGAATGTAATTTTATGGAGACGAATTAAACTAATGTAAATAATGATTGAGTTAATATTATGAAGATAAAAACTTAAACAGAAAACAGAATTCCTTACTTTATATGTTTTTTTCCATCAGTCGTTTTATGGTTCTTTTAAAAACATACAGATTATTTTTATGTTCTGATCGGATACAAAGTTGGGAATATTCGTGTGCCAACCAAATAAAAAAAAAACCTTTCCGTTTTCAACAATTGTACCTACAAATAGCTAAGCGGAACAAAAACAAAGGTAATTTATCTCACTTTTAAAAATAAAGACGTAAAAGAGGCAATTGGTTTAACAACAGACGGACACGCCATCTTACTTACAAAATTAAGTGTCTTCACACGGCACAAAAACATAATGCAGCAATTCGTATGCGGCTACCGAATTCGAAATAATTTAACAGTAATTAATTCTTTGTTACAGGTACAAAAATCGAAAGAATGACACACATGCATTCGGGAACAACGGACATCAAGAGCAACGATGCACAAAATGAGGAACAGCAAAAATAAAAAGATAAACAAAATGGATGGAGTGAACTTGGAGTTAACTTGACAAAATCCGTGCTAATAATGTTGAATTTGACATAGTTCATTGAATAAGTGATTTTTACAGTGATATTTGCATACTGATTGTGAACGGAGGACTATGTGATGTTACAGTGTTAGGATTTTAAATAATGCCAGATCGGGAGTCGGTCGGAGGTCCAGGGACTACAGGGAGTGGCGGATTCTTACCTCTACAGTTCCCGTCTGCTTTCGCGGCTTTTCATGCGACCACGCCCCCTGGAGGAGCGCCAGCTACAGCCATGCATCATGCCACACATTATCACCATCATGCTCAGTAAGTCAATCCTCATGTTTCTCTATTCATAAACCAAACCCATAACAATCATCAACAGATATATCTATAAAACGTTCAGGTACAGGAATAATATTTATATTTGTTTTTAAATTCATCTTACAGTTTAAGCGAAAATATCTTAATCCGTAAGTGGTCTTCGGTTGCGTGTTTTTAGCGATTACAATTTAGTAGCCGCTCCAACTTTTAATGGCGCGCCCGCTAATTCATATTTATTACCTCCCGACTAATAGCATCATACGTGTTCTTGCTGAACACTTTCAGTTTATTGCTTCTGTTAGTGCATCGGTCGCCTTAATCGTTGTAGTTGGACCCTTTTCCTATCTGAGATCCATCTACATTTGTAATTTTATTATGATTCGCTTGGGCAAGTGTCCTGTAATACTCGGTCTCATGATAGCCACCCGTTTCGAAACACCAATTCGCTTTATTAAACTTGTTCGTAACTTTAAGGGGCTTGTTAAGCATTAAGATGCTTTCTGTTCTTATTGCATAATTGCTAATGCTTTTTTTGCACTTATAACGATTTCACTTGCAAGTCAACTTACAGTTGTTATTAAAAACTCAAACACATATTTTGTCGTCAATAAAGTCAGTATATTCGCTTATTACCTTTAAAGGATATCCCGCTCCATTAAGTTTATTATTAACTCGGTATCTTTTTACTCGTTACTTTTTCTGAATTTTATATCAGGAGCAGGTAAAAATTCTTAGATTAGATTAGACTCGCCATATTAACCGTGGTTTACGGCCGTGGGATCATAAAACTGCGTCCAGTGAGACAAGGTGTTACTTAATGCTAATTTATTACTGGCGGCTGCATGTGCAGCCTGATTTGACGACAGCATTTATCTTCGGTAACTGGACGCAATAAAAACAATCGTGGATTTGGTACAACGATTGATTGGTTGTGAATCAGTGAACTGCTGACAAATGTGCAAGGCTAAATTGCCAAAGGGATTGAGACGTTTGGAACTTATAATGAGAGTTAAATGCGGATATTTTAACAAACCCGTTGCTTTCTATACTTCATGCAAGTAATGTATGTGTCATTGACCGATACTGACACGGCCCAGTGAGGTGATTAATACGTACAAATACCGCACAGTAGAGAACGTAAATATGAATTTAATATAAATGAAATATTTGAAATAGATTGATACTCTAGAACATATCAACGAATACTTCTTTGAACCCGAAAGTAACTGCTTTGGTAACCGACTTCATTTCAGTTTCTTTGAATCCCTCGCCGAGTTCAATTTATTTACAGAGGGCCTTACCTGTGCAATAAACTTGTTATTTCCTACATCTTATTTATAGTGATTGCGTAACTCGTTATGGTGAATATAAAGTCGGGTATAAATCGATGGTATGGGACCGTCTGTTTTCTCGGAAGCGGTGTGATCTTTTATATAGGCGTTAGTGGTGTTTCGTCGCCGGATGCTGGCTTGTTCCCATTAACGACAGTTTCTCGGTGGCTCATTTAACCCGCTGCTGCGATAATTGCCCCCACGTGTTTATTTCCATGCTGTCTAATTATAGCACGCACAATGGGTTGGACACGATCGGTTATTTTGGCTCCCTTCACTCCGTCAAAGTCGATTTTGTCCAGCCACAAAAGATGTGTTGCCAGTCGCCTGTCGTTTGATTCATTAAGTACCCCTTTGAACTGATGGATCACATCGCGTGCCGTTGTACCGATTATATCTGCAAGCACCTTTGTAAACACATTCTCTGCTATTATTAATTACTTCAGATTTATCTTAAGATATAAATTTGTTTAGTGTAAGTTCTCTATATTTTCTTAGACTACTTTCTCTTGTTTAAGTTCTGCTAATATTTTCAATAGTTCTTTGTCTTGTGTTACCGCTTGAGGCAACTTCCTTATTTTCACAAAATCTAGTTCGACTCACACATAACACATGGTGCAGTCACAATGGCGTCTAAACCATAAAGTGCCATTCTCCTGCCCGCATCCCACTCGGATCTCATTGTGACGGCGTCCTGCCTTCACAAATCATCGAGTGAAAGAAGTACTATTGGGTATAGACAAAAGCATTATCCGATGATTGGACGCCGTGTGTGGCATCAGCATTGTTGTAACCCGAAGTGCCATAGACAATTAAGGAGACATCTTTATCAAGCTTGGTATCAATGTTATTACTTCGGTGTACGTTTTCTTTTATCGTGATATCTAATATGGTGTTGTATTGGTGTAACTGTTAATTTTGAGTCTTTATTGTCTGTGGGAAATATTTATTCGGTTTTGTGAGGCGGTGCAGACGTTTTTATTGCCTCGGGGTTCACGTATATGTGATATATTATGGTGGTCTTTTCATAATGTCTTGATTTTAGAGTGTCGTAGCCTTAAGGTTGATTTATTAGAAGAATATGATAAAGTATAATCTTCCGGAAAAAACCTACATATCTTTTATATACAACATAGTTTCGAAGAATAAAATACTTACTCTATAGCGCGGAATTCACCGGTGTGTATTGAAATTATTGCAATTATGTTTTGTACTATTTGTAAATACATTTTTATATTAGTTTTAAAAGGAAAAGAAATTAAAAGTGTTCGTATTAAATTGTGTTCCGTCTGGCTCTTTTGAACTGGACATTTATGGATGTTAAGGTTATGGGAATTATTATTCTTGGAACAGTGAAAATACTGCAGGACAAGTTAGCACGTACAGTTTGAGTGATTTATGAGTTTACACGGACGTTCAGACGAGGGTGTTTTGTGCGAAACCAGAATTGCCGAAAACGTCAAAAACTAATTATTGAATGAAACCAAAAAAAAAACAAGAGACGAAATGTACATTTACAGCGTCTGTTAGAGCGTATGAACGAAATTTCTTTGTGTTATTAATTAATTTCATGGCAAAGTTACAGTTGAAGTGCTGGTAGATAATTAAAAACAATCAGCGGAAAATGAAAACTATGAATCATTTAAATGCAATTTTAAAACCGAATTATTCTTAGATAATTATAGTTCACACGCAGTGAAATCGGACGAAGTTGCCAGTTATAAATTGTAAACTGACGTTTAAAATGATAATATTATTTAACAAAAGGGGACTTTTAGGGCGAGTAAATAATCAAATATTACTGCTATTTAATGGCGTTTTCGAATACAAGCGGAAATAACAGGGTCATTTTATACTGGATCAAGATTTAATGGTACTATAATGTCTTCATTATATTTGCCGCTTCCGTCCATTTCATCGATTAGTCCAAATACTACCACAGATTTTAGCACAAACCATTATCAGGGTCTAAAACGGACAAAAAGTTGAAGAAAAAAGTGAGGGATATAAAAACTGGACCTTCCGCGTAAGATCCGACGCTTCTTAAGTAACTATACCAATAACATAGTTTTTCATAAAACTGACCGATTGGGTCACTTCCATAAAGCCATCCGGTCGTAAATTGACCGTTGGCATCCTGTCTGACAGAAGGACTATTATGCCACGCCTCTGGTATAAATAAACAGGAATGCTTTGACTAGGAAGTGTACACACGTTAGGCGCATCGAAGTACTGAAGATCGCAATCTTCAGTTAAAACTATGAATGAATACTATTTTCAATCTGGTCTAGCTTCCATGTTTTTTTTATTCTATTAATGTTTGTTATAGTCGCATTAATATTGATGTTTGTATCGCTTTGTTTTAATTATATTTCGAAGAATGTACTTATTTACTGAAATATACTCAAGTACGTTATTTTTTTACCAATTTTTTTTTGAATTTTGCAACTTGATAATTTTATATTTTCTTGTGTATTTAATTTTTCTTTATTCTATCTCTTAATAGGGTCTTCTCTGTATTGGAGTATTTCTAAGTTTTTACCCTGAAGCTGTATTGTTCAACGCGGATGAGATTTTACAGAAAATTCTTCGCCCCTTCCCTTTTATAATCTTAGATTGATTCATTTGATTCCATACTAATTACTTATTTTCTGTTAAAACATCCCTCTTTATATAAAGCTCGTATATCTGCAGTTCTGTTTAGTAAAGTTCTTATTATGTAACCATGTCTTAAATAACAAACGAAAATGAATTTACGCTAGTGTATACAAATTAATGACAATATTCCATAAAGATACTCGGTTCTAGATTTACTCAGTAAGCATTTTGTGGTGTGTCAAGATTTTTTTTAGCACAAATTGACTGATCACCTCTGAGACGCAAATATAAATTTGGGTTAAACGCACGCGAGTTGTCGTCTGCTTGTCTGTCTTCACTTAAAGAAGCCCCCCCACTTCGCATGCTAATTATAATATTTTAAAACTAATAACTGCTATAATGTTCATCACTTGAGTCAGGTAGAGAAGGAAACCTAGGGTACCGCGGATGTTAGTTCCTAGTACAGTGAGAGTAAGAAGCCGCCGGCTGAGGTACATGGTATGTTTTACTTTGAGACTACACCAGACATTAATTATACTATATAATATTCAAAGTTATTTACGGGATTGTTACCATGTACGTTGTTTTTAGCGAGAAAAAGGTCTTCTCTGTATCTGTGTAAGTAAAAACAATATATATATAATATTCTGCACCGTCTAAAACTCACTGTAAATGACATGCTATAAACTCTCATAACGGAAACTGTTAGTGGAATGATTTCTTAATCATACTATTACTTACAAAATACATGATTAGGGAAGATTATGGGGTAAAGTAAAAGAAAACCTATGTAGCCCGTCCGTCACTTAGATTATATAAAAAAAAAACGGACACGTATTTTTTTTTGTCAATCAACCAAAAAATTACAAAAAGATAAAGCGCATCATAGTTTGGGCGATGGGGCTTGTCCGACTTGTGATATCACTTTTTAGTAAAAAGTAGCCTATTAATCCAGGGTGAAGTTATCTGAACTTCATACCAAATTTTATTAAAATCGCTCCAGCCGTTTAGACGCAAAGAAGTAACAAACATACACACTCACACATTAACAAACTTTCGCCCTTATAATATTAA